CTGGCAGGCGGTGCCTGGAGGTTTTCTCCTGCGTCGAGGAACGCTGCCCGACATCTTGTTTGCACGTTCAAGACACGATGCTGGAGCTGCACCGTGAACCTTTTTATTAAACGCGTCCTTAAGGCTTTGCTTTACCCCTCCTTTTTGGCTTCCTCTCACAATAAATCATTCCACTTGGGGACATGGTTTAGCAGGCATGGTGGTGTTGGGTTGATGGTTGGACTGATGATCTTAAGAAATCCTTCCCAACCTTAACGATTCCTAGTTTTTACTTTCATTAAAAAATAATCCAGCCACCAAGCCAGGAAACACGAAATTACTACTCTACCCTTAACTAGTTCAGTGGTGGACTTGGTAGTGTTAGGTTAATGGTTGGACTGGATGATCTTAAAGGTCTTTTCCAACCTAAACGATTCTATGATTCTGTGATTCCAGATTTGGAAGCAGAAATGGCAGCTTCTCTGCGTGTCCGACACCCGTAACGATTCTGTCCCTGAAACAACTACAGCAGTGGGCCTTTTTTTACGATGAAGCGGGCATTTCAATGACAATTTTGCCAATGTTCTTGTTTTCTTCCATGATCCTGTGTGCCTCTGCGATCTCGTGCAGAGGGTAGACGCTGTCAACAAGTGGTTGGAGGCAAGGGGAGGTTCCTCCAGAAAAATACGGCAGCACATTTTCTGTGAAGGCTTTCACCAGCTGTTCCTTATACTGAAGAAAAAATGAAAGCATTTTGAAGATTATTTCCAATCATTTTGTTCACAGAGGTATCTCTAAGTACAACGTACAAAATGTACACAGTTCTCAGGGAGACTCTGACATCCTCATAGTGAGATGGACATGTAAACATCTGACAGGTGTCTATTACAAACAAGAAAACTTTTAGATCAATTATATTGTAATTGAATTAAATTCTCCAAACAAGCGGTATAAGCTCAGTGCAGAACCACTTAAACTCAAACTGATAAAATTCTTGAGAATATTACGTATTAGACTGCGGACAGAATGTATCCTAGGGCTCTACACTGCTGTCTTTTACTGTAATATCTGAGAACTTTCCACATAAAGTTATTTTTCCTTGGTAATTTCTAGGCATCCAAATGGCCTCGGTCTCTATCTAACAGAGGTTTTTCTCTCCCCTGGCCCTGACATGATCAAGTTGCCTGATCACTTGAGTTTTGTTTTTTCTTAGGCCAAATCTTTAAACTGTGTTGCTCATGAAGTACATTAAGAAGTCCTGGGAATCATTCCTCTGATTCCATAGTTGTAAAAGGGAAGCATTTGCTAAAAATAGAGAAGGGAAATTACAACTTAATTTTGCAATGTTTTCCAAAGAATATAATAACAGTTTAAGGTGGTGCTTTTTTGGTAATAATGTGTTAGATTCTGCTTTAACACTGGTATTAGAAGAAAACTCTCAAAACTGTCATCCATTTTAAGATCAAACTGTATACACTGCTGATAGCCATTACTTGCCTCCTTGTCTCGTGATCGTAATAGACTTGTATGGATGCTCGCTCTTTTGGAAAGCAGCCTTGCAAGCAAATCTCCGTGTACTTCACCTCCACTCAGTAGTCCGTAAATAATCCACCGGCCATCAGTACTCAGACAGTTGAGATTCTTCTCCCAGTATGAGCCACCAACACAATCTAAAATAATATCTACTCCAGAACCTCAAGTAGAAACAGAAAATATTTCAGCAAAGTAATTGAGCTGCATTAAAGGTAAGATAATTTCAGGCAAAAAAACCTTGATCTTTATAGGTACAGAATCAATCTTGCAATTCTTATTTAAATCTTTCTACTGAAATTAGGAATTGGCACAATTTGTAAGCAATTCTAGAATCAGGCACAAAAAAAGAATCATTATAGATATCCAGATGCAGACTCTGTCATAAACTATCCCAAATGCTTAGAAAAGCTAAATTTTTCTAACAGTAAGAGAACTAGGTTTTATTCCCATATTCAAACACAAAGACAAATGTGAGGATTTGGTCCCACAGTTCCTCGTGGAGGCAACAATAGCACAGACGCAATATTTACGCCCCAAATGAACACAAAGCCAAAGAGTCTGTGCAGAAAACAGCACAATTAAACTAAGGACAGATAAGATTCTTGGGCTGAACGGGATGTTAGGTTGTGCTAACAGGGTCACTACTGTCTGCTCCTTCACCGACTAAGGTGACAGTTGAAGCTGAGTGTACGTGCGTATATGTTAGGAGGTACACACTCCTCCTCAACTCTAACAGTGTCTTTTGCATAGACGTTCTTACCTTGGGTGAACGCCAAGACCTTTTCACTAAAATCTTCATTCTTGTAGTTGAACCCTGCAGCTGCTCCGGCGTTTGCTGTTGCTTTCAGTTTCTCTTGAGTTCCCACAGTCACGATGGGAATGGCTTTGGCCAGTCTTACCAGCTGAATGGCTGCCATACCGACTCCGCTAGCTCCAGCATGGATCAACACTCTCTCGCCCTTCTGTATTTTACCTGAAGGAGGACATAAGGGGAATGGTTACTCTTTTGGCATCACCTTTGGATTAAAGCATCATCAGGGTGGAAAATACTACAGAGGAAGCTGAAAGAGATGCCCTTGAGCTGGCTCTGTTTACATCTTTATATCCTTCATAAAAGAAACAAATCCAGAACTAACGTAGCTCGCAGTATACCGACAAGACTCCATTTTATTGACTTCAGTGGAATGACTTTAGCTTGGCCCTGTCCGGTTCTGGGCATCTGTGACCAAGCTGCTTAGGTTAGTGCGGTCAGCCTTTTTATACTGGGACCATCCACTGCCACCAACAGAAAACACACTTGGAGGATGTCACTACTGAGAAATCAGGTACTCAACAATGGAGAAATACCAGGAGTGCTGGGTAATGGTTAAGGACCAGTTCTACCTATCATTTTACCATCTGCCGGTTGCCCTAATGCATTTGTTTGTGTCCCACTGATTGCTACTGGAAGTGAGACACTGAGTAGTCCTGGAGATGTGGTCCTAATTGACCACAGACACCAGGAACCAGCAGTGCTCGAAGCGAGTCTGCATTTTGGGTAGTGAGGAAATTTACTTTGCAATTCCTGTTCTTTAGTGGAGCTTTTAGATGCTACTGCTGAAGAAGGTGGAAGAAGGCTATTTGTCAGCTGAGGAAAACTCTGGCAAGTGCTATTGTTAGTGCCTCTGTGGCACATTTTCAAAATGAAGAGTGAATATATGTCTGTTTTATATGAGCTCAGAGGGGATTTTTACCTACAGTTAAAGTCTCTGTGAAACAAGGTACAAGAAGATGTTGTCTATTTTAGGTCCACAAGCAGTTAGTGAGAAAGTTCATTATATGGTTATGCTTGCAGCGAAGTCAAATCTTTAGAAGTAGGATGCGTTTTCAGTTTTTTGGAGAACATGTAAATTATTTCAGGGTTTAGGCTTAATGGAAATTGCCATTCAAGCTGAGAAATGTAGATGAAAAGAAAAACTGACCATTTTTCCATATCCTTCCTTGTAAATATGCAATCAGCAGAGTAAGATGTGACTGGGGAAATGTGGTCAAGATTTCAGGATCTGGGTCTGGCTTACCGGATTCTGACCCACATGAATGGAGCGACAGAGAAAAGGTTCTTTGAAGGCAAACAGCATTCAGAGGGAGGCAACAAAGAGAGGATTTTGTAACAGAAAGGAAGACGAGCTGTTTTGGTGGGATAGGTTTGCAAATACGCCTCTCACCTACAAAATGCAGCAGCTGAAAGGCTGTTAACCAGGCTTTGGGAATGGCCGCAGCCTGAATAAAAGTCATATCCTTGGGAATTGGCATCAGGTAGCCTTCGGGTACTGTGACGTATTCTGCCTGGCCACCTCCGGAGAGCAGAGCCATCACTGCATCGCCGAGCGTCCACCGGCCCTTGCAGCCAGGTCCCAGCCCAGCCACGCTCCCAGCTGCTTCTAAGCCTAAAATATCACTTGCTCCTTTCGGGGGAGGGTACTTGCCTCTTCTCTAAAACAAAAGAAAAGAGAGGGCAAGGAAGGAAAAGCCACACATCAATGAGTGTAATGACCTGTGATATTTTACATGCATGCCTCCAACCTAAATTCCTATTTATTTAATCCTGATTTTCCACTGTGCAAATGTTCCAGTAATTTGAGGGTCTTCTATCCTCTGGCAACACTTCTTGTTTCCTAAGTATGTTTTATTCTTAAAACATATTTTATATCTTTATTCTGTGTGCAAATTTAATTTATTGTGAGTCCCCTTTGTCCAGGCCAATCCATGCTGGGGAGGTATTATGGTCTCCAGTTGCAGAGTGTGGCTTTCAGCACAAATTAAAGCAGCTCGGACTTAACAATTTGAATGTGATTTTCCCACACTGGAACTGAGCCAGTGGAACATTTCATGTTCATCTCAAATGCCCAGAGAATGGTCTAAGCATCTAGAAAGACCAGAGCTTTGGTTTTCCATCTTTTCTTGAAAGGCAGGTGCCTTCCCATGACACCCCTGCATTGCAGTGACCCAGATGAAAACATTTATCTGCTGAATTGACAGACATCTCTTCTGTCAGCCCTGTGAAGTCTCCCATCCAAATGCTCGCCAGGTCTAATTTCTTTTAACTCGTCAGATTTGTCAAGACTTCAGATAGGGGCTGGAAAAATTGGTGTCGTTTTCAGGTGCATAAATCTGCTTAACGTACACATACCTGGAGTAAATCAGCCCTATTCAGAGCGCTGGCAGAGACCTTCACAAGAACTTCTCCTTCTCCTGGATGTGGTTTCATCACTTCTTTCACATAGAGATTTTCTGGGCCTCCCGGGAAATCAAAATAGGCTGCCAACATTTTCCCTGGAAAAACAAAACAAAACAAAACCAAAAACCCAGCATGAACACAGGCACACTTATGTGCAGCTGGAAAATCTCAGTAATCAGTAACCACAGCTCCACAGACTCCACTCTGCAGAGAATGAAACCGTGACATGGCTCGGAGGTAGAAGAAGGGAGGGCTGCCAGAGAAAGGAGTTATAATGCAGTGAATTACCTTAACTTTGGGACACAACATATTGTTGCAAAAGCCATCTGACAAATGGTGGCGATTACCTTGCATCAAGTCATAGGGCTTAAACCTGCACAGAGCTGTGCGCGGATCCAGCAGCACTGACCTCCCACCCACGTTAACTGTAAAGTAGCACTCAAATGAAAATAAAATCTTTTGCTTTCGACTTCGTGCACGATTAGGGCCCCAGTGCTCAACTGACTAAAGGACACAGGCCCTTAAAATAGTAGACACAAATGGGACTTTAAAACTCTCAGCAGAAAGAGCCTTTATTTGACACATTTAAAATCATGTAAGTGCTGCCTTATGATTCAGCCCATGGATGGCAACTTGAAGATACGCAAAGGCACGATGGTGAGTTAGCGCAAATGAAAGATAACAAATGGTTTTAAAAATCCCTATTTGTTTCCCTTGCCTCAGCAGGTGATCCCTGTGTGCCTGATGCACCCTGGTAAAGGGTAGCACTGCTGCAGGAGTCTCTCCAGTAACTCCTCAGCCACTGTTCCTGGGTTCCTCAGTTCTGGCACCAGCGGTTGTTGAGATGGCCTGAGATGTCAAGCCTCCTCCCGCCCGGCAAAATCAAATCTGGAGCAGTCTTCCCTCTACCCCCTGGGTGGAAGGAAGTGAGAAGAAGAGAGAATCACAACGGGAATGACCGTGTTACTTCCCGAGAGCTGGTACTATACTGAATATAGTATTAGACGCAGGGTGGGCTGCAAGCCAGAGCCTCTTCAAGTAAGCAGCACTGTGTGACAGACCACCATGCCCTCTGTAAAAATCACTTGCATTATGATATCTGTGCAGGAAAAGCTAAGAGCATACTTAGTTATTTGTTGTAAGACTGCAGATGCAGAATGATAAACACCGTGAAACCCCAGCAATGTAAATCCCCACGGGGTGGTGCTCTATGGCTATTTTACAGTGAACGCACGCTTGCAATTACTCATATAAAATGTAACTTAAAGGCTTTTCTGTCAGAGGCTGGCTATTTGTTGGTTTCAGCTAAACCATTTAATCCAGTCCCACAAAATGTATCTGTATTAGCACAAAAATTTAATGGGAAGCCCACCAGACACCACTCTGTAACAGATGGTTCTGCCCTCCTAATCTGTCCAAATTGAGTCAATTAAAAATAAGATGCGAAAGAAGCTTTTGTCCCTCTTCCAACACAGTCCACTAAACTGCATTTTTATAAATGCTTTTCTTTGTTGCTAGAAGCAGACTCACAAAAACATAAAAAAATACAGTGAGGATCTGAATATCTACATTGCTTTCAAATGCACATAGGAGTTGAAAACCAAGTTTCTAACTAAGTGCAACAACTTCAAACTGTCAGATCTGCCGGCAGTGGCCCAAAACAACAATTTAAAGACATTGTGTGGTTCCCGAGCGCAATTTGTGACTCACCTTTTTCCCGTAAAGAAGGGAGGAGGTTCTCCGCAGCAGGAGCGAACCCAGCCTGTCCTCGGGAGCAGAGTCTGATCCCAGTTCCTCCTCTCCCAGCTCTGCCCTTGCTGTCAGCCATTCCGCAGCAAGTCAAGGGGTGGAACAGGACGAGGCTGTATTTCACTTTGGAGGGAAAGACATGAGCAGAGTCAGAAGTATTAGTACATCTCACCATTATTTTTACCCACGGACCTGCTTTATTCCACGGATTGAGGCAGCAATCTGCTTTCCCCTTTGGCATTGAGGTCGAGATCCGCCGCTCGTCCCCAGCACACAGGGAGGTTTGGTCTAACGCCTTCACTGTGCGGATCCGCTGGATGCGTCCATATTGGTATGTTCTCGGGCAGAGCACTGTACTGACGGTTTGATTTCTGAACTCTGAGTAGTGCAGACCAGATTTACTCAAATTGCATTAAGAGCATGTGAGCTGTGACAGTCTTTATGCTATATATCCACCTGAGGAGGCTTTATGGGGCTCTGTTCCTGTAAGACAGCAGTGTTCAAGGTTTACTGGTTCACACCCATCAACCTGGTGCATTTCTACCTGATGTTTTAGCTGCCTGATGGCACCTCTTCGTTGAGATTTACTGTTTCCCCCAGAGGGCAAAGGATCACATCATGCCTTTCTCTGTGTCCTAGTCACCAGCTCTTGAGTATTTGAGTTGTCAGGGACTAAAACTGACACTTTAGAGTATTTAAAAATGATAAATCATTTGTCTGTCCGTGTGTGGGACTCTTCTGTGGTATTTAAAAATGATAAATCATATGTCTGTCCATGTGTGGGATTCTCTGTGGATTTTTTTCCTCTTGATTTTGATAACTTTTAAACTCTTCTTTGAAACTAAACTAATTTAGAATCAAATATAGCTAAAAATTCTTTTGTTCTCACGTGACTCAAAGAGCTAATAATTTATTTGTGTCTGCAGATGAAAATATCATGGAGCCTGGTCTTCTTGAGACTGCTCTTTGATGTCCTATAGTACACACAATCTGATTCAAGCCTGGATAGTGATGTTGTCCCTCCTCCCCAGTCCTCCCAGAACTTTGCAATCCAGTACAGTTTAAAATAACTTCCTATAGTGGTCAATGACAATGCAAATTGACATGTTAAAAATGTGTTTTATTTGTAATATTCAAGGATGTACAGGACAATCTGAAAATCTGAAAAATCTGAAAAAATGAAACAATTTCCTTTGTCCCTTGGGTCTGTGATGCTACGCATAGCTGTAATGCTATTACAGAACTTACTTTGCTTAGTGAGATTAATAATTTTCTTATCTGGAAACAGGCTAAAAGAAGATTAAGCAGAGCATCTTAAACCAAATCTTGAAGACATCACTTTCAATTCAGTTAAGAAACTTAGATGATAGATGTGTAATGTAGTCCTCTTATCAGCAGCAAGCCCTCAAGTGTTCTTGAAAAAACAGAAGGAAACTCAGCAGTCGGAATGTTGCAAAGCAGAAGTTTCTTGCTTACATTGGATAATGCTTCAAACTTCTATGCTTTCTTCTATAATTTTTTTTATAATTACTTTCTTCTAGAACTAATTCTATAATTTCCTTGTGAGCAGTCCTTCTGAGGTTGATGAAATTCAAGTTTTCTGCTGATTCAGCTACCTTTCTCTCTAAAGTAGTCTGCTATAGTAACACAAGGAAATAAAAACATTTTAAAAAACCAACAATGATAAAAATCACATACAGAATTGCTGTAATGGAGATGCTTTTTTTCAAGTTCAAATCCACCTCAGACTATATTGTACTCAAGACAGCAGTATTTCTAGCTGAAAATTAAAAATACTAATACCTATATTCATGAGGTATTATCTGTTCTAAAGAATAAACACCAAACACTTTAAGTAATTTTCAGAAATCTCTTATAACATGTGAAGGAAAGCTGTTTTGTTTTCTTTTCACAAACAAATCATCCAGAACAACAAGAATAAACTCCAGAGAATACACATTTTCAAAACCACCTCAAATTTGGCCCTGGAAATACTTAGACCTTAGACTTTACTCAGGAACAGTGGCCAGTTACGGACAATGTGACTACTTGCAAGACCAAATAACTTGTGTGGAAATTATTAAAGGATTTTGCCGGTGTTGGCATTTTTTGCAATCTCCCAACTTTACGCTTTCTGCCCTCTTCCCACGGCAGCAAAGAAGCTAGTATCAAGTATGATACTGCTCCTGAATTTATTACTGAGCCAGCTGGACAGACCTGGGGCTAAATAACACAGTGGCACCTTTTGCTCCAGCTCCATTTGTAGTACTGCAGAAAAAGACTAGGATGGAGTTAGTCTGAAGTTAGCTGAAAACATAAGGTCCAATTCTTAGATTTCGTAAGTCTCATTAATGCTGCCCTAGATTGAAACAATCCCTTGAAAACACTCCTTACCTGGAAGGACCATTCTGGTGTGGTAGTATTTCATACCCATTTTGACCCAGTGATTAAAAACTCCTGTTGATGCTCTCAGTAGACTTACCCCAGTGGACATTCTTGAGGTTACTGCTTGAAGCTGTTTGTCCTTAACTTATGCCAAACGTTACCAGGATGGGAAATCTCTCTGTTCCTCAGCTCATAGCCCAGGACATAAATGTCCCCCAAAATTCATATAATTTGAAGTCAATGTGCTGGCCATACATGTCAGTGACAAAGACCTGTAATACCTAATCTCTAACAGAACCATCATAGCTGCTAAGTATGACAGGGAAGTTTGTTTTAAAACCTGCATTATAGCCTCTAAAATCCTCTTCTTGGCTGTAGCTTTTTGAATTGTAAAAGCCTTTTGAAAAAAGTATGATGAAAAATTTGTTACTGAGAGTCTTATAGCTCATTCCAGACAAAACAGCTTATGCCCCAAAACACAAATTAATTCCACTTACGTTTAGGTACCTAAATGAGGAATGAAAGCTAGGAGCACAGTGGGCCTACAATTGCATACCTATTCAGTGAAAGAAGATGGGCATATACCTAGATTAAGTTGAATCTTAATGGTCTACAAAATATTCCATAGAAATAGCCTTGAAATTCCTTAGAAATTTCTTAGAATTACCCCTACGGTGGAAATCAAGGCTATTCTGGGAATCTGCTCTTATGCATTTTATCCATTTGGATGATGGGATAAAATGATTGTATCCCTGATATGGAGTCAGCCATATATTTCAGCAATAAGTTGTGTAACCCTGTTACTTATCTCCCAGGCCAAGGACAATGAAACCTTGCCAGCACCTCCACACAAAGGGAAAACTACATTTGAGATGCAGTCAGGATTCTGCAGCTGGTCTGTGAAGGGCTGGGTTTTGCAGTATTTTGCAAAAAGCTCATGTGTCACTGAAGAAGTG